TCAAAAATAATTGCATCATGACTCAATTATTTATATGTTTTAATAATGACTCAATTAATTGCATCAAATAATTGCATCAATTGTATCAAGGATCTATGAATTTCAGCAACATGTATAATGTATATCATGCTATATACAAATCAAATAAAGAAATGATGTTTACCTACTAAAATATATATATATATATAATTTAAATGAAATTTTGAATTAGATTTAAATACATATTGGAAAACAAAAAAAATTATCTTTTTGAATTTATGTAAATAGCATTGACATATATTTGACTTCAAATATCAGGGGTTGATGTAGAAAAAGGGTTTTATATTTATCAAAATATTCTTATGATTGGCTATCAAATAAATAAATGTATCACGCGAGGATTGACATTCTCCAAAACCAATGTCTTCAGTTCAAGCAGTCAACTCTTACTTCGATAATACAGACGTTTATGAGTGGTCATATCTTGGTTTTTTAAGGACTTTGAAACCTTACTTATTGTCGGATCCAAATTCAAGTGCGAACCAAAATTCAATATGGAGGAAGAGATTTTTAGTTTATTTAAAGGACTTTTTAGATTTAAAAGAGAAACAGGGTTTACAAGTCAGAGATAATAAGGAACAATACGAATTTGTAACTCTTCTTTTGCGACAGGTTTGTCATCTTTAGCTTTCTGAACTGTAAAAGGCGGCGTTTCGCAACCAACAGAGGGTGTTGTAGGGGTGACGTTCCTCTTCGATTCCTTCTCGCGGTGGGTACCGTTCCTCGCGTTTTGCTCGTCTGTTATGGGGGTGCACGTGGGGTGCACGTGGGGTGCGCATGGGGTGCGCATGGGGTGCACGTGGGGTACGCATGGGGTGCGTGTGGGTGCGCGTTCCTTGTGTGTTCCTTGGGCGTTCCTTGTACGTTCCTTGTGTGTTCCTTGGGCGTTCCTTGTGTGTTCCTTTGTGACAATAGTTCAATCTCTTCATATTGGAAACTTAACCTCTCAGCTGTTTTTAGAAGGATTCTACAGAAAACTTTTGGAAAATGGTCGAACTAGAAAGAGAAATAAACTATGAGCTAGAAAATAAAAAGGTGAATATTATATATTTTGAATAATGATATCAAATACGTCCTTACGTTCATTCGTTATCCCTCAAGATTTTTGTCAAGCGTAAATCACAAATAGATGGATTGGAGTTGCTTGATGCCTCTCGTCAGCAACAAAATTTCGAACTTGTTGATGAGTTAAATTTACAGGTACAGAAAAAGCCGCGATATTATTCACAGACAATATCAGGAACAGAAAATCCCAAAAAGCGACCAGCCGAAAAAGTTATTACACCTCTTCCCGACCTTCGTGATCGCTCTCCTCCATCTTATAAAAGTGTAGATAATTATTTTGATGATTATAACGAAGAACCAATCGAGGTTGAGGATGTATCAACTGAGACCTCTCCAGTAATGTTTTTTCGTTTTTTTGATGTATTATATATAAAAGTTCGTTTATTAATCTGCATTGCTCTTTAAAGTCAAATGGCCGTTATGAATCTAACGTAGGGATTATACGCGATGAAAAAAATAATTCTTTTATAACACAAACAGGGGAAGATTTGACGAAATATAAGGTTAGTGTTAATCGATGATAACATAATAATTCCTACAACCTTGACATTAGTTAATTTGGTTTATATCATTTAAGTTCGCCTTTTCATGGAGTCACACGATTGATAAAGTTGTCGTAAATAAGGCCTCTGAAAATGACGTAAGCATTAAGAAATATCTTCTTGATATTTTATCCTGATGTATTATAATTTTGTTCTCTTTTTGTAAAGTGGTTAACACAGGATGGATACAACATCTCTATCGATTTTCGTAAGTTTCAAGCAGAATCAATCAAAAAATTGGAAATTAATCCGACTTTATCATATGCGAAAGAAATTGATATGATATTGTAAGTATTTTCTGTGCGAAGTTACAGAATTTGGTTACAATATTTAATTCTGTGTATACTTACAGGTGTTTATCATCGATTATGTATTGCAATGAACTTAAACCAGAATATGTTGGATGTTCTGAAAAGACATGGAATGATGCTCGTCCAAGATCATTAACCCCGAAGGAGTTGCCAACAGTTGCTGACTTAGTAATAATCGAATACAGTAGGGTAAATATCATCCTTGAATTATTATAAACTACCAGTAAACACATTAATTTATTTATGTTTTTCTAGCTTTTGAATGACAAACAATCACTTAATACAAAGTGGCGTAACAATTGGGAAAAAGGGAATACATTATTAACAGACGAAGACAAAGACATCTTTGACTGTGTGCAGATAGTTTCGAGAAATTTGTAAGTTCTAAATTTAGTAAAAATGTTTTAATTGAATTATGATATTCATTTTTTGCTTTGCAGCTTTACCTATTTATCATCGGTGAGTTATGATGAGAATAAAAATTTGGACGAAGATACATTCATCCATCGATACTGTCATCAAATACTGGAAGAAATATTCAATAAAACCGAACTCTCATTAGTTTGGTAAGCCTCATACAATCATAACATATACTAGATATATATACGCTTACATTTTCATTGTTGAAATAAAGGGCTAATGGGGAATCTGAAAGTTCTAAAGAGAGACGTGCATTGGATGGTCATAACCATGGCAGAAAACCAGACTTCCGGATCCTCTCAAAGATCGAGTACGCTGATGACCTTAAAGGGGAGTTCATATTTGGTGAGATAAAACCACCTCATTGCCCTATTTCCATAAACAAAAGTATAGTTAAATTAGCAGAGTTCATGAAAGGGTCTTTGGATTTTATTATTAATATTTATGGCTATCTGACTGGCTTGGAAACCTATGGTATATTAATTTGTGGTAAGTATCCCTATTGTAACTTTATTGACATTTGATTGCCAAGCTAATAGAATTAAAACAATAGGAAGCGAAATTAAGATTTTTAGTATCGATTTGCTATATGATGGTCTATATCGTTGTAATCTATTATCGAAGGTATTATTCCCGACGGAAAGTGCAAATTTTTTAAACATTATAACTGTAGTATCTACCCTATATTCACTATTGGTAAGAACCTTACTTCATAATCTTTGAACAAGTTGCTTCGTAGTTTGTGATCTCATTATTTTTATTTACGTAGGAAAGGGCAAGATCTACTATTAATATTATAAATTCATCTCAAGTAACACCTGAATTATCCTCCTCCCGTCACTCATATTGTCGAAATTCGAATTCATCACCTAAAAAAATACGTGTTCCGATAGTCAGAGTTAAACAATAATGAGGTCTTATGTTCATATTAAATAAAAACGTTACAATGCAAAGTATTTGTTAAATGTGTGCTAACTCACGTGTTTTTAACGAAATATTTTTCTTATTCTTATTGGGACACACGCAATTTATCATATATGATATATAATGTAATATGAAATTTCTCATTGACTTTGAGCATATATGTAAAGAGGCAGGATCGAACCCTATTCATCCACTTTTAAGGGTGCGTCCCAACCTAGTGATCCTAGCAGCTCAGAAAATCATACTATATTAAGTAATACCTTAATTTGGAAATATAGCAGGCTAATCATGAAAATTCCTTTTATATAATATTACGTATTCTTAAACTTTGCATCGAAAAAGAATTGTTCTTTTTTTATAATAGAAAGTAATTATTATTTTTTTTATTTTCGTAAAACTGTAAGTATAACAAAATACAAAAAAAAATTTTTTTAGATATTATTAAGTAATAAATTACATTGTTTTTAAAATAAAAAAAATTTGTATTTTTTTTTCTTTTTACAAACTTATTAAAAAAAAAAATGAACTAATAAAATTTAAATTTATTTTTTAAAACGTATAATATTTTAGTAAATTTTTTAATGAGTTTCTTTAGAAAGACCAGGATAAACATTAAATAAATCTTGGTTTTCTTTTAAAAAAAGATCATGTACATTTGTTGAATCTAATATCTGTTACAATATTTCTAGCAGTAGAAAAAAGTCATTCAGCTGGTACTGAAGATGCTGAAATTGCTAAATATATATGAGCTTGTTTAACAAGCAAGGGTAAACTTTGTTTATGGTTTTTCCACCAAATATATGGATTATATTGTAAGTATTTTTCATGTGTTGTTTCATATTTAGGAAGTTCGGAAAGAGCTTAATATGCTAATAATTCTTATTCAATAGATAAAGTTTAAATATTAGAAAGATAATTGTTATAAAATAAAAACATAAGAGAAGGGAATTCATTTTTTTGTAATGTATTTGAAGGTAAAATATTAATTTGTGAAGATTTAACTATTTTTTCTTTTAAAATATTAATAGTTTCAATTTTTTTCAATTTTGTAGTAAAGATTATATTTTTAAATCTGGAATCTAAAAAATTTGCTAAAAATTCTGTTATTTGGGAATTTTGATATTGTAAATTCATTAATGAATAAATTTTTTGACAAACTTTACAAATTTCAAGATATATAAGAATTAAATTAAGTTGATCAAGATGACAAAAAAGATAATATAAAATAGGAAATATTTGAAAAAGTGTAGAATAAGAATTTTTACTTATTAAATTTGTCACTTTAACAAAAGATTTAAGTAATTTTACTAATTTTATAACATCTAACTATTGATTTTCTATTAAAAAAAATTATTTAAGATTTTTGCATTTATTTTAATTTTGTGATCAAAATCTTAAAATAATTGAATTTGTAATTCAATTATTGCATTATATAAAAAAAGAAATTTTTTAATAAGAATAAATATTGAATTCTATTTAGTTTTTGTGTCACTATTAATTACATTAAGAATTTGATATTTAATAGATATGTCATTTTTGTTTTTTTGAAAAATATCTTTTTATATATCATGAAACCATTCATAATATTTGTTCTGATTTGCTAAAAAATTATTTAACTTTTTAACTTTTTTTATTAAAGAATCTTTAATAAGATTGATGCCATTATTAATTATTAGTTGAAATATATGTACCATATATTATATATAAATTATTTCAAGTAGTTGCATTGCTTTTTTTATTAAACTAGTATTATTAATTGTTTCAGCAAAAATTTTTTCTTGTAATTTTCAAGTTTTAAATATTTTTTATAATATATCTTCAATATAATCTTTATCATATAGATATAGTAAGTGTTCAATTATAAATAATACTTAATATAATTCAAAATCAATCGAAAGCCAATGTATTGTTATACTGATATAAGAAGTATGAATTGCCATTCAAAGGTTTATAGTAAAAGCAAATTTTATTATAGTTTCATCTATTAATTTGCTTAATTGTATTGTTATATAATTAACTAACTTGTCAAGATAATCTTTTAATATTGAATCACTAGGAAAATTAAATTAGAACTTACATTTATAAATTAGTTTATGAAATCTTTTATTATTAATAATATTAAATAGCATTATTTCATCAATAATTCAAGCAAGAATCCTATATAATATTTTTTCTCTTTTTATTATAAAAAAGAAAAAATAGTTGTCAATTGTATCAAATTTGAATTCTTTGTTACTAGTGAATATATTAAATGTTTTATTCTAAAATAACTTTTAAGATTGGTTATTAATATAATCAAACTATAAGTATATTTGCAAAACTTAATTTCACTTTTTGAGTTAATAATCATTTGATTACAAATTGTTTTATTTATAAATTAACCTTTGTACATATAATTCCAAATTCAATTATCTGTTTGAATATTAATTTTTTAAAAATCAACTTTTCAATAGATGTTGATGATTTATTTTTTGAACTTAATAAAAACAATATATTCTTTTCATCAATAATTATTTGTTTAGAAGTAATTTTAATACTGTTGATATTAATTAAGAATTCCAATGATTCTTTTCGATTCTATATTCAATTCTCAAATTTATATTAAATTTAATAAGTGGAGTATACCCCACTATTATTTTTAATAGTGTTTCAAACCTCATACAATTTTTTGCGATTCTGTTTGATTCCAATTTTCAGAATTATAATATTGATATGCTTGATCCATTAATTGGATTTTCTATCATATTTGATAAACTTTAACATTAGAACAGATTTTAATTTTAAACAAAACAAAATTTAAGAATATTTTATAATAATTAAATTTGTATTTTAAATTAAATTAAGGACTTAATAAAAATTAAACTAGAAAATATTTAGTATATTATAAAAAATTAATACTTGTAACTTTTTTAATTTTAATATTAATAATAAAAGATAATATATTAATATATTAATAAGACATTTAATTTTGAAAAATTATTTAAACAATATTATTAATAAAAAAAAAAGCTCTTTTTTATTTATTATATATTTCTTAAAATTTTATTTTTTAAAAAGTTTTTTTTTTTAAGAGAAAACTTCTATAAAAGAATTCACAAATACATTAATTGGCAGTATTATACTATATTTTTTCTAGAGATATAGTTCTTGTTAATAAAAAAGTTATAAGACTGAAAACAGCTTCTTTTATCCTCAAACAAGTTACTTTGGATGGCAAACTAAAAATACCATTGGAGTTTGTATTGGCTTTTTAATAACAAAAAGTCGGGTAATATTTCTTATATAGTTAGAAGATACTGGCGAACAAAATATAACAATAATATTGACATAACAAAACACTGTTGATGTGAAAATCCGGCGAGTCTGTCGCTTGAGCGTGCCTCCCGTCATGTAACAATGGAGCGCGTCTTCTACTCGAAAAAGGTGTGTGTATTTGGTCCGAGCTGTTGGGTAGCACTACAGATCAATCGGTAGATCCGGGGATCTAGGGGGTTGCTACTCGTGTGGCAATTCCTCAAGTGT